CAGACACACTTTTTCACCTCGCAGCCAGAGCAGCGAAGCTGCTTCAGCCGCCCATCAGAACTAACTGGTACAAGCAGCAAAAATGAAGCAGCAGACACGATTTTATTGCTCTTGCTGCGTCCGGTGATAACGTGGCATTATACAAATTTTTCCGTCCAGAAATTCAAGTATGGGGAAGTGGTCTGCCTTAATTATTCCTCCTTACCGGTGTGGGGGGGGAGGCTCCCTTCAACGCTACACTCTTCAATTTGCATGTTTCTATACAACAAAAGGGTTTGTTGGGCTACTGTATAAAGCCTTGTACTCAACGCATTTTCTGACATGTTAAATTGAAAAAGCTTCCTGGATGGGAAGAGAAACTTTCCGTAAAAGTTTAAAAAACAATCCACTGGACTTGGTTTCCAAGGTTTGAAGACATTTTGCTTCCCCTCCAGGAAGCTTTCTCAATCCAAATATCTTTAAACTTGGAAACAATGTCCAGTTGATGGTTTTTTGAAATTTTTTGAAACTACCGAACCTTGGTGTGGAAAGCTTAGTAAAAACTGTCTAAAAGTCTCATCACCTCAATCTGCCTTATCCATCAGTCACTCAATTCTATCTGTGCTCATGTGATGGAGGAATGCTTCCACTAAGAGGCTGACATTTGGAAATGAACAGCAAGGCATTTTCAGGTTGATTTAACCAACCAGGTGCTGTTTTCAGAGAGCAATCTGGCACTGGTTGCTAGGCAGACTTTGTGTAGGCTTACTGGCAATGTGGCTGTTGATGGGAGGGTTTGGGCTTTCTGCTGACTGGAGACAGACAGGAGAAAATCTTTGTCTCTTTAGCCCAATGAGCAGCAGAGCCTTAGGCGCAGTAGAGGACGTAATGACGTCACAAGCAAGCATGGCTTTGTTTTTGGAAGTAAACACAGAGCTGGATCACATGTAGGGATCTTTCATTTCTTCACCAACCTCACCCAGTTCATTAACAACACGATCTTTTCAAGATGTTTGAAAATAAAGACTGTTCTCTGCATTATCGTCCACCATGGGTTTTGTTTGGTTTTTTTCCAGCTTCTGCATAGCAAGACGTTGAATAGTGACCTTTGTTGAGTATTAATGATGTTCATAAGATTTTGATGTTTCTTTGTTTCTAAACACTTTGAAAGCATTATCAACCTATAGTAGTTTATGAAACTTGGCTACCAGGAAACAACCAATCAGAGCTCACTTTTCTCTCCAGTTCAATCATCTCTCGTTAATTCACAGGTAAAGGTCATCAGACAGCAACATTTTGTTGTGGACTTTCAAATCTTCTTTTCAGAAGGGTTTAAATGTCCATGAGAGCAACCATAAACCACAATCAGAAGCTCAAACAATAATTCTCATCTTAATCAGCACAGCGTCACTAAAGCGTGGCATGAGTGCAATTGACGTCTATCGTCATTGTTCTGGCCTGACAACCTGGGGAGATTGAGGGTTAAACCACTTGCCTACACAGTCTTTGAGAGGTCACAAGTTTGGATTATAACCCCACACCTTCTTCACAATGAGGTTCAGGTGGGATGAATGCTACATTTTTCTAAAGTCAAAATTTGTGTGACTATTTTTTCTATAATCTTTTTGCTGCTGTAAACACCAGAATTTCCCCATTGTGGGACAATAAAGGGATTTTCCATTCCTTATGCAACAAACAATTGGATTTGGGCCACTTAAGGCTGCTGTGTGTTATGTTCAGTTACTTTGCTCAGGTTAACTTTGAGGGGGCGAGGCATTCTCTTGCCCCAGTTTAAATATCCGGATTTGGATGAGAGTTGAGTTTAGCACAATCAATTTAGTTCAGCTTTGCTTTCCCTTATCCTGCCCACGCGATGCAAATTTTTTTCTCATGTTTTCATCATATAAATAACACTAAGTTCTCTTTTTGCTGAAATGAGCTATACAAATACATTTGCCTTAGCTTGAATGATAGAGAAAAATGCAGCACTGCAACATTACATGTTAAAAGCGTAGCTTATTCAACATGATTGAATAATCTTTTAAAGTAACTTGCTGCCAATAAAGAGACAGCAAAATAAGCCTGCCAAGAATTTGCTAATTAGGATTTGTTCTCATTTCAACCATTCCAGTGGAAAGTACCCCCTCACTCCTGTATTCTGTTTAACTTTTTTAATATGATGAGATGCCCTCACAAATATTATTATCTAGTTCTGCAATAGGCTCTTAATTTAGATGCATGTGCTGGATGTTGTGAAGGTGAGCGATAATGTCTTTCCTTGCGGTTCACATGTTGTAAATGTCTGTTGTAGTAATAACTGTACTTTGTTTAAGTAATCTTCTAAAGTCGTTATTTCCCCTTTCCCACTGGCCGGAAAACCCGTTTAAACCCGGGAAAAATCTGCTTTTAGTTGCCATGGGAACAGCTCACTGATGCGTGTCTACCCGGGTCAACCAACTCGGCAAGCGATCCACGTTCAAATCACCCAGCTCTGATCAGCATGTTTTGGGAACACCGGGGTTGACCTGCTAAATTACGTGATACCATTGAACGCAACGTACGGATGTCAACACACAGTCGCTTCTAATCTAATAAGCAGAAACAGCTCTGTTTACATTCAGTAAACATGGAGCAGCTCTGGTGAGAGGGATTCAGACACATAATAGAGCGAAACAATATAGCATATGGACTATGGCCTGGCTTCCCTCCATGTTGCTCTCCATTGTTTACTTTCCTGATTTCTGTCATACTGGTGATATCACCAATGTTAACCCAGGATGATGGTGTCAGCAGACACACAGCGGCGGGGGAAAAGAGGCCATGCAGCTGCCAATGAGGGGTTAGACAATCTTTTAGTGCCAGTCGGAAGGGATCTAAATGGCAACTGATGGCAGGTCAACCCACGTTTAAAAAAAACTAACGTTAATTTGCTATTTTTTAGTGGGAAAGAGGCTTATGTTGTGCATAGGTGCTTTGAGTTGGTCTCACTGGCATAAGCATGGGACAGTCGTCCGCTCGACACAGCTTTGTAACACAGTGCAGAAACACAGTGGACATCTTCTGGTTCTTGTGCTTCACAAAGCGGAATACTTCAAAGGCAAAGCGTCCCATTTGGCTCTTCCCATTCTCAAAGACAGTGGTCTGTGGGTCCTTATCACAGCTGTGACAGAGAAATAAATTGGTGGAAGTTAGAAAAGACTTCTCTAAATAATTAAATCACCTTTCCAAATGTTTCGAGTTACCTGAAGAAAAGGTCATAGCGAAGCTCGTCATTTGGGTTTCCAGAGGGCGTAGTGTAACAGTAGTCCATTAGCACATTCCATCTGTTTCATAATAAAATAGAATTTATTTGACTGAGAAAGCTGATCCTAAAACAACATTTTTATTTCTATTGGGTGGGTGTGGAATCAGCATCTACAGGGGAACATGAAAATGGGGCGATGACTGATCGGTAACACAAACGGACACCAGCACAGCCAGCCAGTGGTATCCACCCTGCGGGAATTGTGTTTGGGATTTCTGACTCAGCATTCTTATAGATAAACAGACTAATAAATAATCTATAATGATTTAAACATGCAAGACACCTTATGCTTTACATGTGTTAAAATAATAAGTAGTATTTTACTATAAATACCAACATATTCTCGAAATATATATTGGCAACAGGTGAAATTATAATTTTAAAATTCATTATTTTTTTATTTTTCTACACTTTTATGTCAATGACATATAATATATACATATAAAGCCTTAAATGGCCAAGCTCCATCTGATATCAGAGATCTGATTGTTCCTTATGTT